TATATTTTTTGATTTCGTAATTTTATATCCGTAATATTACAAAAATTTGTGATAAAGAATCCACGTCATTGTCATTGTTGCAGATTAAAAGAATCACGCAATTATGTATACTTGAGTAATAAAGACGTTGAAAAATTAAATGCAATACCTAAAACAGCTACTATGTGACTGGTTTCGTATCTCTTGCCAGAAAAAGTATTTCGAACGACAAGTTTCTAAGGTTCCGTATTCGAGGATTATTCGAACAACGAGCAGATGTTCCTTGTAAAAATCTTCTCATTAATAATCGCTGTTAACATTTATGTGACTGCAATATTTCCATATCTTATAATTGAATTGAGATACCTACGTCACGTTATATTAATCATTACGATATCGTATCTTCCAATCAATAAATGTAACGGACTCTTTTATTCGAATCGTTGAAAGTTTCATGGTTCCCTCTCTCGTCAATAGTTTCGAGTCGTTCGGAGAAATAGTTTCGTGCCCCTTCGTTTCAGAAACGGCTTAGACGGACGATAAAGAAAATCACAACGCGAGTAATGTCGCGGTACGATCTCATCATAAAATATCGGAAGTGCGTCTCGATGAGCTTACCTTGAGGTAGGACGGTGAGCAAGAGGACTATTTGGAGACCGGCGGCGATCGTATTATAAAACTTTATTCGCAACTGCGGTAGACCTCTTGCCTGGTGCGCCATGGCAGATGAATTTTGCAGGCCCAGGTCGAGGCACGACACTGACTTGCCGATGTTCATCTAACCGGTCACGACGGGGCACGCGATGCACTGTGCACAATTTTGCGTGTTCACTTTTACACGCAGCGATCACCGGCGCGAGTATCGCCCGGAAGCGCTTTGCCGCCCGCTGCGTCACTGATTATCATCATCATCGTGCAGGGTGTCACGAGTCGAGTTCAATTCCGCGCGAATCGTCCGCTAATCGATACTCGATGCCCTCGCTAACGCACCCCCCGACTTCGCCGTCATAACCAAGCGTTCTTCCGCGCGCCTCGGTTGTGCGTGTCCGCGAGGTCTCGATCGCTGAGAGGTGGCGGCGTTTTATCGTTCGCTGAGAGAACGCGCTACGTTCGCGCGACGGTGCTTCCCAGCGTTTCGTGCATTCTCGCGGGGGATCCTGAAAATAATCATTTCGTACGTGTGAACGACCCCTCCGCACCCACTTGTCATTCGCGCGCGCGGCGTCGTTTCACGGCACGCGTTTGCATTATTATTTTCGCAACTCGACGAGATTGCTCTCGACTGTCGAGATGCGTCCTCATGTATTCGCCGATGAACGCCTCGTAACTTCTAATCATGCGTTACTTGTAAGCTTAATTTCCTTGTCTGAAGAAACATGCATTCGACATTTCAGATTTGTGTCAAACTAAAAGCTGGTCAGCTCGCGCGTTAACATTTCATTAGAAAAATAAGTAATACAAGATATGTCATCTAGAGACTTTTTATAGGCCGAAGCAAAAATTATTCATACATGATATTTCTAAATTTTCTCCCCGTTTTGAATAGACTCATTTTATATTCAGTTTTTAGTAAAATAATACGATAAGAAAATTATAAACGATTCAAAGTTTTCCTCGAAACTTGTACGTAGAAACAAAATTTTGATAAGAGCATCTGCAACATTTTTTTTACTGTAAATCGAAATTACAATCATGCACAGAGTTTATGCAGTTGAAACACTATTCACTGCGAGATAGCGAAATGACACTCATTTGAATATTACTGTCATTTATTGCGATACTTCTTCCCGATACATAACGGTTGTGAGCGTCGTTACGGGCATCGAAAACTTGGGTGATTTACAAGCGAGGTGGTTGATTTACTATTTCACTATCAGCAAAAAGAGATTTCTTGTATTCCCTTCGGAAAAACGTGCCGCGACTCGAAATGATCGGTTTTGCCAAGCCCCGCTATCGTAAATTTTTCATCTTCTTGGTGAGATCAAAAGAATTATTAATACAACTGAAATATATGCAGGTTGATAAATCGATCTCCGCGAGCTAGACCGAGAAACACTTTGCAATCAATTAACTCATTAATATTATCGCGAAAGAATACAAAGAGTCCAATTATATTAAATATAACGTATTAAATTTAAACAAGATTCCCAAAAATGAAAATATTATATACATAACTTATATAATTTTACATCATAGAAAAATCAGATATTGTCTGGCTGTACGTAGAAAAGATTTACGTTTAAACTGTTTAAAGAGATAACTGAGATGCTTGAAATAAAGAAATGAACAATCTTGCTTTGCCTCGTGCTTTGAAAATACGATACGCGAGAGCGCATTACAGCTCATCTTTGTTCTCGCGCATTTATTAGTTTCACATGCAACACATCATCGAATCACACCAATAAAAAGCGTCCTACATTTCATCGTGAAAAAAAAGTGCGCGAATTAATTAGCAACCCTTTCCACAACCGATCAGCCATTGATCACGAGTCCAGCATTACGATGACCTATTTATCGGATTCACGAGGGAGTGCATTAAATGGCACGCCATTACCGCAGTTTCTGCCTATCGACACAGGTAGCAATTTTTCCATTGTCCCGCACGGCTCGGAGAAGCAACAATGGCGCGAGTTTTAATCTCACAGGAAATGCGTCTGTGGAGTTTTGACGCCGCGGCCAGTTGATACGGGAACGTACCCAAGACTATATACGATATCTTTCACGCGGTATCGTTTATCAATTATGCGTATGTTGCGGACCCGAGTCTCGGTGCATGCATCGCGCGAACGTGTCGCCGGCCCTCGTCGACGCGACGAGGCAGGATCTTGCCTCGAAAATTGCGCGAGAGCCCGCGCCCGGTTTACAGGTGTCCGTAGCAACTACGCTTCCTCATTCGATACCGAATGCTCCCGTTCTCCCCCACGCGGCGGCGTCCATCGTTACGAGTACTCTCACCCCGTTCTCGACCGGCACTGGGGCTCACTTCGTTACTCGCTGACACCCACCACGATTCGACGATTCGATCAAAATTTCCGCTTGCAAACGCGAGACGACATATAGCCCCGGATACGCTCGACGTATCGCGCGAGCTCGCGGAAAAAAACTTTTTTTCTTGCTAGGATAGGAGAGTCTCGACAGGAGAGTCCACAATCGACTATCTCGCGATTCCAGAACTTCTACGTGAGACGTGCAGTGACTATTTCGTCGGCACCAACGAGCAACGCTCGGCGAATCCAATGGCTAACTGTGATACCGCGAACGACGCCGCGGTTATTTTTCGTGATTGGCTTCGAGCCGCTAGCACGCTGTCGCGAGATTTCCGACCTATACTCTCCGTTTCCTCTCTCTCTCTCTCTCACTCTCTCTCTCTCTCTCTCGCTCTCACTCTCTCTCTTTCTCTCGGCGAGCTCCGAGAGGGGCGCGGGTGTGCTATCGCGATTCCTGGCAGCACCACGGACCTGCGTTCGCGGCCTGGCCGGCGATCGTCTTCCTCGTCTCACTACAGTCCACCGCACGTTCCATCCTCCCGCGGAGCAGCACCACCACCTCCGCCTCCTTCGCTGCCTCCTACTTCACCGGAGCGCAACACGGTGTTGCCCGGTATCTAGGCAACTTCGCGGAGCGTGGCTGCTCCCTCTGCCAGCAGCCCGTTCCACGTAGGCAATGAATTCGTCGTTCTCTTCGCCGTTCTTGCTCGCGCGGCGGCTCGTTCCTCTTCTTTCCCTGATCTCCGTTTTCGCACTCTCGCTCTGTTTTCCTCTATTTCTCTCTTCCCCTCCCTCCCCCCTCTCTCTTCCTATCTCTTTCTCGCTCTCTCCCTCTCTCTCTCTCTCTCTTGTCACACTCCTGCTTCCTTCAGAACGGATCACGCGTTCGCGCGAACGTACATCCTCGCATATCCGTGTTCACCACTGCCGCTCTCCCTGTCCTATTGCGGCTATCTCTCCTTTTTCTCCGCACTCCCATCCGCCTCGTCCTCGTCGTTCCGCTTGCACTATTTGCTTTATTCCTTTATCCGTAATTGCCCTCGTCCGGCCAAGTCGTAGCTCCTGCATCCACGGTTCTACCTGGCATCGCGCGCACCGGATTTAACACGAGCGGGATGCAAACGCGAGTAATCCGTAGCCGCGAGCACCGGCGAGCACGACGCGACGACGAAGATGAAGAGACGCGTAGCCTCCCGTACAGGCCGCACGCACTGGGAATACGCCACCAAGTCCGGCAACGAACGCGGCAACTCGCGCTAGACTGAGACAGCGGTTGGCAAGAGGGAAACTACGGAAGAGCAGATAAACAGGGGTGGAGAAAAAGAGGCGATGGAAAACAAGGAGGTGAAGTGAGATGAAGAGAAAGAGGAATTAGACACACGGGGGATGGAGAAAACCGCCTCGTCCCTGCGAACGGGTGTCCGAACCGGAAACCGAAACCCCTGAAAAAGGAGGCGGTCGGGGTCGTGTACGAGCTGCCGGTCGAGCTCTCGCGACTCGCAGCCACCGCCGCGATATAGACGCGAGAAGCGCTCCCCACGATGGCCATAACCCTCCTCCGCCACTTCTACCTCCGGAGAAACCACCCTCTCCGACGCCTCTACCTCCCGTGGCCGCCTCCAGTTCCCACCACGATTTCGCGGGAGGCTGCGGACTGGACCAGCACGCAACCAGCGTGACCCCCACCACGCCGCGGGAGTACCAGGGTAGTAGACTTGGGGGGCGCGATGACGCGGGGAGAGGGAGGCACCGCGGGGCTCGAGGGGGCGCGAGAAGGCGGGCGAGAACGGCGGCCCGGGGGCGGAGGAGAGGTCCAGAGGACAGCATCCCCGAAGCCCACCCCACAGATCAATATTGTGCCCACCACCGTGCACCGGAGAACTTGCCCCATCTCTCTCGAGTAACCGTCGCGCGCCGCATGCCTCGTCTCTCTTACCCCTAACCGCCCTCTTGCCAACTCCCGTAGCTCACGACCGTTGCCGTGTATCGCGCGCTCACTCTCTTTCCCTCTCTTCTCTCTCCTTCCCTCCTTCCCCACCCCTTTCTCTCCCGTTTCCTTCTTCACCTATATTCTCGCCTTCCCTCTCAAGGGTAAGCGCGCGCGAGGGTGTACGTTGATTCTATCGCGATCGTCGCAAACGATGCTGGAGCATGGTCCAAGTCCGCTAAGGGGGATTAGCCTCGGCGGTCGAGATCCCAGGGACGGCACAGTTTCGATGCACCAAGGGTGACGATACGACGGAAAGATAAGTAGAGCGCGGATAGATGCCGGGGTTGACGGATGAATCGATTGTTTTCCAAGTTCGCTGGGAAAACGCGTGTTCAAGGCGAGGTCGGTCAGATGGATGGTTGAAAGATTAACGAAATGCTCGCTATTCTACGTTTCGCACGGTCATTGTATGTCAATTAAAGATTTTGCGAGAGAAAGTCGCTTCCTTTGCAATTATAGAGCATAAAAAAGTCGAATCTGCACAGTTACGTGTCGTTTGTAAAGCGGACGTCAGTCGACGAATACTTGTACTAGGTCAATCTTCCTTTCTCATAGTATTAAAAAAATGTTATTAAATATTTATATTTGCGACAATTATTTTTAAATATCGATTAAGAATAATCTGCTTTATTATAACTATAGCATATACATACATTACTATGCTAAATAATAAATATACTATTAAAAATACTGGGCGTAAGATATTATTATGCACATAATGTCGATTATTTTTGTTTAATATATCTCGAGTGGTATACAGAATTGAATTTACTGAAGCTGATGATACAGGTAGTTGCCTTATCAACAGCTGTTTGCTGACAAGATTGCAAGGAAATCGTGCAAGGCGCTGGAGACAGACGGATGCTAGTGATTCGATGGAAATAGAGCGCTATATTTCGATAGCTCTTTTTGACAGATACTTTATTAACTGTTTGGCAAAAGTTACTCGATGAGAAATATAAAAGTTTTCTCTTTATAAACCTGTTTTTTTTAAGAGCAACTTCTTTGAGACTGTCGTTGGTAATCTCTTTCTTCAGAGGATCAGCACACACTGCGCCACCGAGGCATGAAAATACAGTGCATCCGCAATTTTTACAGTCGATAACGTTGTACCGGCCTTTGCCCTTACTGTCACACACCCTTACGGACATTTCTCTCAGAGACAATTACATTGTACTTTACATTTAGTCGAGAAAAGAGATTCCTTGAAAATGTTCTATATGCGTTTCCTTACAAAAAAGTATTTCCAATATACGATAACATAGGTGGCAATTGAACATCATTCATATACGATTCGAATTATTTTTGCAATATGTTTTCTTCTGTATTTCCCGCCCGTTTGCACAATATTGTTTCAACGCTTTTGAAACGCATAAGAGTCGGTTTTAATTTGGATTGTTTCAAAACCGATTGACTTGATATGAAATAGTTGCAGTAATTAGAATTACGATGGACACCCGAAGTGCAATCAATAAAATTTATTTATTCATCAAAGTTATTCATTGATTTTACGTAATAATAGCACGGTCTGAATAAATTATGTTAATAATTAATATCGGCATAACTATATCTAATAACTCTGATTAAAGTTCTCATTATACAATGGAACTGCAATTAACAATTTGTAATCAGCCATAAATAACAAACTTAGTCAAGTACATACAATCTAATCATTAGATATGTGGCATTTTCCTAACCACTATTCCGTAATTACAACTCATAATTAAACGATTCCTATTTTACGTGTGTCGTGTAAAGTCGAAATGCTCTACGACCCTACGCAAATCGTATAAAATTTGAAATAATCTACATGAACTGTATAGCCAGTATAATGTACTTGATGGAACATTATCGTAATAAGTGTCCACGGTAAAGTCCACCGGCGAATAACGAGCGGTGGATGATGAGAGGAGGCGGGAGAGGGGCAGATTCAGGGATTTAACGTTTTCCTTCATATATACGAGGTCGTTTACTCATTGTTATAACTTCCTTAGAAGCCATTACAAAGACGCGCGCTCCTCCATTCTAAGATAATTCGGCTGACACAAAGCACACAGCTACCCTAAGTTCACGGAGAGAAGAGAGAGAGAGAGCGCGGGCAATTTGCCATACGCTACATTAAATTTCACAAAAGCGGGAAGCGCACGCCACGCTAGCGTAAACACCAATCAAAACTATGTTTCTAAAGCGTGTCAGGCATCGCGTTTGTTCCCGTACCATTTAGAGCAACATCGAATGCAATTACCCACCTACTCAGTATGCTAATTATCGCAAGACGCCGGACGTGGTGATATATCGTCATCCCGCCCGCGCCGTTTCGAGATGGTCAAGGCCGAGATTCGCCTCTCGGTTTTCCCGATTGGGCGAGACAACGTTGCCACAAAGTCGCACGTGCCGACCAAGTAATCGCGGAAAAAACATATTGAGATGCACATTTTTTACACGTTTGAACCCCCAACTTCATCTTCTCCATTAATATTATCTGAGAACGGGAAATGAATTATTGCAACGGTCGATTGTCTAACGGTTTACCGGTGCCCATAAATATTGATAGTAGAAAAGAGATGTCGCACATCCATTAAAAAAACAGTGAAAGCACGTACGAATCTGTCGATTCGTCACGGCGATTATCGCGCGACGGCCAGCAAGTGAGTCTCCTGGGGCATTACGTCTGGAATGGTCAAGGCTATGGCTGAGACGGACGAACGGACACGAAGAATGAGCGATGTTTTGTAGAAAGCAGGTATACGAGCAGGAAGGGAAAGGTTGCACCTGGCAACCCCGAGATAGAAGCCGAACTCACGCCTCGCAGGCGCGTCTCTCTCTCTCTCTCTCTACACGGATCGGCCCATCCCACTCTCCACGGTCCATTCCTCACAGCCGGCCGTCCCTCTTTGAGGGCCAGCCTGCTAGCCGTGCACTCGCCCAAAATAACAGAAATTGTGGAGAAATCAGCGTTCCCCAAGGATCGCCCTTGCGGACCATTGTGGCGCCTCGAGGAGCGACGAGCGACGAGCTTCCTCGTCGAAGCGGAGCGTCATTGTGTGTCGTCGAGTTTTCGCTTCTTTGACTCGATCTCGCATCGCCCAGGGATGGTTTGACTTCTGCGCCCTTTTCAATCTCATTGCACTTTAATGCCGATTGCACGAGGCACCAGGTGTCACGATATCCCCTGACGTATCCCTCGCTCGTTCGCTCGATCGCTCTCTCTCCGCTCGCGCTATCGCCCGTGGACTTTTATTTACGACGCGCGACGAATCCAATGCGGAACGCTCGGTTAAATGCACGCGGGGACAAAGTTCTCTCGTGTGTGCTCGAGGGGGTGAAGCAAAACCGCTAGCGATCGACCCGGGGTTCTCTCTCCCCGAACTTTGGGGTCAAACATTCGACGCTGGGAACGTCTATTTGGGTCACTCGGTTTGCGAACAGATCACTCGAAACTTTTGCGCAATTGACGTATCCAGGACGGAATGTGTGCGATCTGTGCAAATATGTGTTTTCCACGCTGTGTTTCGAATGAAACGGAAATGTTAACGCCTTCACCCGCCCAGTCCGGACGTCGAATCGCGAGTTTGCCTACGATTTGCAGCCGATACCGTCTGTTATGATGTGGGAACTTTGGAACTTGAATTTCTCTTCTAATGGAACGTATAGAAAACGAAATTATATCAAATTATTTTCAGTCTGAATACATTGTTTTCAATCCAAATATTACATTTATTCTAAATATATTTCAATCTTGTTCAACAAATTATGTCCCAGGTCAACCGAATGGTATTTTAAGGATAGATTATTTAACGAATATAGTGTCCGTGTTTTTTCTAGCGAAAAAGTCAAGAGTGGTCACCGTATCGACACTTTCCAATTTACGAAAATTTCATTTCTTGGTAAGTAAACTTCAATCGGAATTCCTCTCGGAGTAAAATACTTCAGAGAGATATCCACCCGGAAATAAAATTTCGTTATTTATTTGCGCAAAATATAAATCGTAAAACTGCGTGATTGTGCCTTTGCATTTTTTTTGACAAATTTTCTTACAAAAGCTTTTTTATAAAAAAAATATATATAAGACTCCTTTTTATAAGAAAGAGAGAACAAAATTGATTAATCGAGAGGGAGAGAGAGATGAATGGATTAAATAAAATCTGGTGCAAAATGTTGCAGTATTAGTCATCAAAGTCAAAGTGGGTTACTTTTTCGAGTTAATCAGTGTTACAATCAGCTAACTTCTTACTTACGGGATGATAAATTATTTCGCTAACCTCGCCATGTGTATGCTTGACCGACCTCGATTATTATAGAAACGGAATATGATTAACTTTGCACTTATACATCGGTGACGTTTACGAGCGGCGCGAAGGTGTACGGGGAATGGCGTTAACCGCATTTATTCTTGTCTTACTAACTCCTTTCAGCTGTCGCGTGTCACGGCGATAAAGTTTGCGGGGGAGGGAGCAGAGTGCCTCGCATACATCCAGCTTTCTGCAAAATTATGCACTGTGTCGATGCAGATCCGTCACGA